CTCCCTTTCTTCCTCTCCAGACTCCTATCCATAAGAGTTGTCTCAGAATTCAAATTTAACAAAACAGTGAGTTCCCCTCAGCAGTAAATAGTGCATTTCCTAGGCGTGTCATCGCCAGCTGCAAAGACAGAGCAGTATTTGTTAGTGTTGCAACACGGAGCCTGCAGCAATCTGGAAGTTGTGGCTGTGATTTCGGTCTTTGGGGGACAATTAGGAAAGTAAAGCTGAGGCCAAAGATAATTGACACGTAGAGAGAGAGACAGAGGACAGTCCGAATCTCGTAGGAAGAAGGCAGCGGTCCTAAAAGACCAGAGCTAGGCAGGCAGCTGTCACTGAGAATGGAACTTAGTGATCTGCTGTGGGCTTAGAGGACTCAGTGAAAACTCAGATGACTAGGAAACAGGCTTGATGGCAGTATGACTTTTTATTTATTTATTTATTTATTTTCCCCATTTATTTTATTGCATTTTAGGTTTTGGGGTACATGTGAAGAACATGCAAAAATGTTGCATAGGTACACACGTGGCAGTGTGATTTGCTGCCTTCCTCCCCATCACCTATATCTGGCATCTCTCCCCTTGCTATCTCTCCCCACCTCCCNATAGGTGACAGAGCAAGACACCGTCTCAAAAAAAAAAAAAAAAAAGAAAATATTTTTGTTTTAAAGAAGGGGGGAAATGTGCATGAAGATGGTCCCTGTAAGTCTAAAAACCAAAACTTCTAAACAATTTAAACGGTTATAGCTACTCCATGGATATTTATATTTTGGTTTTTGTACTTACTACACATCCTTGAGCAATTTACTTAACTTCTCTGTGCTTCACTTGCTGTCTCTATAAAATGGGAACCTGCCTAACAGCCCTTGAGAAGAATAAGTGAGATAATACATGCAAAGCAGTGGGAACAGTACCTAGTGCAGAGTTAAGTGTTCAATTAAATGATGTCTCTAATTATTCTTCCACTACTCTAAATAAATATAATGACTGTTACCAAGGTAAAAATGTTCACTATAGTGTTACAAATAAAGCAAAATATAAAATTATACAATTAATTTTTATTACAATAATGTAAAAATATATTCCATTTTTTTTTTTTAAAGAAAACAGGTATTTTAAGCACCTATTATTACTGGACAGCTTCTTAGGAGTAAGACTATACATTAGCATTGAATAAGTCCTAGTTCCTGATGGGAAGGGAGGGAGATAACAGAGAATTTCAATTCAAGTTGGGGAGTGTGCATTGAGATGCTAGAGGAGCAGAAATGGAACACGCAGCCCAAGTGAAAGTTCAGGAAGGAACTCCTGGGAGATATGTCACACTTGAGTCAAAGCAGAAGTGAGCTAAAGGGTATAATTTCCAATACAGCATCAATAATCAGTTAGAAGATATAATGGAGGGCCTGGCATGGTGGCATGTAATTTTAGCAATTTGGGAGGCCATGATGGGAGGATCACCTGAGGCCAGGAATTCAAGACCAGCCTGGGTAACAGTGAGCGCCTATTTCTACAAAAAAAGTTTAATTTTAAAAATTAACCAAGCACAGTGCTGCATGCCTATAGTCCCAGCTACTGGGGAGGTTGAAGCAGGAAGATTGCTTGAGCCCAGGAGTTGAAGGTTACAGTGAGCTATGAGCACACCATCGTACTCCAGCCTGGGTGACAGAGCAAGACTCCGTCTCTTAAAAAAAAGAAAAAAATAAAGGGCTATTTGGATGTCTAGCAAAATTTCCTCACTTCCACGTGGAAGTAACCAGCTGTGGCTGAGAGGTGGAGCCCTCTTTTGGTGGGGCAATAGCTCTCAGCTTCATCATAACTCCCATGCACCCTTCTACGCAACAATTTCACCTACCCAGTTACTTGAACCGTGCAGAAAAATAATGGCATGGGAAAACATACACAACATTACATAACAGGCAAGAGATTAACGTCTCTATTCATATGTAGAACTGCTAAAATGAATGTGAAGAAAATAAGCCAATTTTTAGAAAACTGGCACAGACCATTTACAAAAGAAATACAAATGGCCAACCAACATATAAAAAGAATAATCTCTCTTCTAATTGGGAAAAATCATACTAGTGTTTTTGCCCATTAGGTTTGGGGGAAAAAAAGATGATAATATTCTATCTTGGCAAGAGTATAGGGTACTGGCAAGCACAAATACTGTTGATGGAAGAGGGACAGAACAATTTTCTTGATGGGCAATTTGGCAGGAGCTACCAAAATCTATTTACTTATTTTTAACTGTTTACAGAGACGGGGTCTCACTGTGTTGCTCAGGCTAGAGTGCAATGGCTATTCACATGCCTGATCATAGTGCACTGCAGCCTCCAGCTCCTGGGCTCAAGTGATCCTCCTGCCTAAGCCTCCCAAGTAGCTGGGACTACAGGCATGAACCACTGCACCCAGCTTCAACAAAACTTGACACATGCATACACTTTGCCCTACTTATCCAGGGATTCCACGAATTCGACATATGAAACTAACTCACATATGACTACTGAGATACACACATGCATCTACCAGGATGTTCAATATGGCAATGGTTATTGAAACATCTAATGCAAATGGAAGTGACCTAAATGTTCATAAATAAGGGAAAGGCTAACTACATTATGGTATATCCATAGGCTGGAATGCCATACAGTCATTAAAAAGAGTGAGGTAGATCTACATTTGTTGACACAAAAAAATTCTCAGATACGGTTAAGTGGAAATATCAAGTGCCATTAATAATTAGTACAATCTAGTCAATTTTAGAATTTAAAAAATGTGTCAGTTAATACGCATACCCCCATGCACATTAATATACATAAATCCTTTTCCCCTACTGCTAACCACTACAGCTGACCCTTTCACAACACAGGTTTGAACTGAGAGGGTCCACTCATATTCAGATTGTCTTCTGCCTCTGCCACCCAAGACAGCAAAACCAATCCCTCCTCTACCTCCTTCTCCTCCTCAGCCTACGCAACATGAAGTTGATGAGGATGATCCACTTCTACTTAATTTTCTCTTCCTTAGAGTTTTTTAATAACATTTTATTTTCTATAACATACTCTATTGTTAGAATGAAGTATTTAATACATATACAAAACGTGTTAAAACAGTAGGCTATTTAGTAGTTGAGTTTTTGAGAGTTAAAAGTTATATGGGGATTTTGTACTATGCAGGGGCTGGTGTCCCTAGCCCCCACATTGTTTAAGGGTTAACTGTATTTATATAAGTATATATATAATTTACAAATACAAATGTTTATACATTTATAGTATCTAAAGGTAACAAAAGTCTGTTGATAGAGTGACACTTTTTTTTCTTTCTGTACCCTGAGGGCAGACATTTACTCTAGACTTTTTTGTGTAATGTGCAGTTTTTCTAAGAAGCATGCATTCACGCATTGCTTGAATGCTTTTTTTTTTTTTAAGCATTAAGAGGATGAAAAGGGCCTTCCCAGAAAAAAAGACAAAGACTACCAAGGATGTATGAAGGGAAGAAAGAACTGTGAGGCACTGTGGCACTAAGGATGGCCTGGTGAGCACCAAATGATGTGTAGCTGGAGGCAAGTGCAAAAGGAGACAGCGAACTCAGGGCTGTCCACCCCTACTCAGACCACCGCCTATAGCCACACAATGTTCCTTTGTTGTTTCAATTACAGCACATACAATTTGTTTTAAAATAACACTCCTGGTACCAAATTTTAAACATGGCATCATCTCAACGGTGTAAATAATGCATTAAAAATGTGCTGGCAGGAAATGTGCCAACCTGCAGTTACTGCCTCTAGGAGGAGTGAGTAGAAATAATCATCTTTTTGCTTCTCCATTATTTTTCATTTTCTAGTTTTCTGCAACTATATATTATCAGGCAAAAAAAAAAAGCATACTTTTCAAAATGAATTTCATATTATAGGAGAAAGCACGCCAGTTATTTACCCAAATGATCCCCGGCATAGGAGGACCCTCAAGTCCAATAGATATATAATGGCTTCACTGTTACTGTTAAGACTTTCTTTGCCTAGCTGTGAGTTCCCCAACTCCTTGCTCCACACTTCAGGACCAGGATCCTGTGAGGACTGAGATGGAAACAGGTGGATGGTAAGAAAGGGTATTTTCATCCTTTCTTGAGATACCTGGATTATTTTCCCCGCTTCCGAATGACTCTGAGGCCTCCTGGGTGCTACCATCTTTATTTCCTACCATCTGTTCCTGTATATGCTCTTTGCTCTTGTTTTCATATTCTTTCCCTGGGTCCTTTCCCTTCTCCCCTCTCATCCCACTCCCCAAGCTCCTCCTCTTCCTTTCTTCAAGTCACCCATGTTGTTGGCAGGAGGGATTCGCAGGATGGGAGGGGGAGAAGATTGGGTTAATGAAAATGTCCAATTCTGAAGTTGAACACTTCCAGCCTCAAGCTTTGAGTCAGTGATGATGGCTGTCCAGGGAAGGAAGCAAAAGAGAGGATAAAAAAAAAAAAATAAGAAAAGCAACCCCTACTGCAAATATAAATACATTTCCCGTAATTATCTCTTGATCATGGATGGGTGTCACAGTGTGGAAGGCTCTGTTGTCACAGTCACTGACAACAGGAAAAAAAAAAAAAAAGTCAGTGTTACAGGTTATTGTGTAATGTATCATTATCATCAGGATCAGATCCTAAAAACTAAGACAAAAATTTTTTTAATTAAGGAGTAATTTTCTTTTAAAGTATTCTTGTAGGAAACCACAACATCTTTTTTCACAAGGACAGAGCCACAGAAAGCAGTTTCACCTAAAGGCACAATACCTGCCAAAAAACCACTCAGCTACTTGACCTCACTGGGGACTTCCTCTTTGAAATTTCTTAGTTCACTGGGGATTTTGCCAGGACTAAGACCAACATTCCTGAAGATGTCATTTCCACCTCAGCACACCCTTCCCTATTTACTGGCTCAGTAAACACTGGGGCAATGAACTAATGAACAAGTGAATGAATGAGAAGGCATCAGCACTCTGCCGGGGTGCTTACCTCTTCTGGTTCATGGAGGCCACCTGGAGCCATTCGTTGGTGCTGGGGTTGTAGGAATGCGCAGCGGAGATCTCCTGACTGGTGATCCTGTACCCGCCCACTATGAAGAGGTAGTTGTCCAGGATGGCGGACCCATAGCCCCTGACATTGACCAGGTCGGGAGGAAGGTTGTTGGCCAGCGGGAACCAACGCTCAGTCATTTCCTCGTACCTGAGCATGGACGGGGGCTCCCCCTGGTAGGGGTGAGGGGCCAGGGGTCCCCCCAGGAAGTCCCCAAGGGCCACGAGGACAGGAGTCCCAGTCATCCGGGCCTCCCTCAGCCTCTGCTTCAGGCTGACATCCCCTGGGGCTTGGGGAGGAGATCCCAGGAGGTGGAACTGGGGCTTGCACAGCACCTCGTGGAAGTGGACGACCATGAAGCGCAGACAGGCCTCCTGCAGGTCGGGCAGCCCGTACACCTGCGCCAGGCGGTACATCTCCAGGCAGTTGTTAAGCCGCACCTGGGACAGCAGCAGCTGCAGCAGGGACGTGACCTGCAGGAAGGAGGCCGCCTCCACCAGCTCGGACAGCAGGCTCACCTCGTCCATCTCTTCGTCCTCGTCCACCCCGCCGCCCTTCTCCCCGCGCGGGCCCAGGAGCCAGCCTTCGCGGGCCCCGCCGGCGTTGATGAAGTCCAGGACCAGCCGCAGGCCTGGCGCGCTGAGGCCGCGCAGCTGCTGCACCTCCGGGCCGCCGGCCTCCTGGCTCAGGGCCTCGCGCATGCCGGAGCGGTACAGGGCGCGGAAGTAGTCGCTCTGCTCGATGAGCTTCCTCTTGCTCACCGGGTAGCAGCGGTCCTCCAGGCGGATCTGCACCATCTCCTCGGCCGACATGGCTGGGGGCCCCAGGGCTGCGGCGCTCACCGCCAGATCTGCGCGCCGGCTTCCCCGCCCTCACGCGCGCGCCGGTTCCGGGTGAGGCGCCGAGGGATGGCGGCCCAGGAGGAGCAGCGAGGTGAGGGCCGCCCGCGCTCGCCCGGCCTCTCCGGCGGCCCCTCCTCCCAGGGTCCGCTCCCGCGAGGCGGCGGCCCTGCCCTTCTCCTTTCTCTCAGCGCCAAAAAAGGACGGGCGCAGCGCGCCGGGCGTCTTCGCGCGGGCTCTCCCGGGCGGCGCCAGGCGGGAAGGGAATCCCAGCCCCCAGCCCGCAGCCTCCTCCCCCGCCGCTCTTCTCACTTCCGCCCGCGGGACCCCAGCCGCCAGCCTGACCCTCCGGCTGCATCCGGCTCTCTGGGAAGCCGGAGAGGTTGCGGGACGCGCGGCAGGGGAAGCTGGAGGAGGAGGGCGCACGTTCCGCAACCTCTCCGCACGCCCGGGGCGCGCCGGCTCCGCCGCCTGCCGGGGTCTGCAGCGATGCTCCGGGGTACCCCCGGAAGAAGAAATCAGTTTGTTTTCTCTCCCACGCTGCTTTACAGGGGCTAAAGAGAAAGCAATGAGCGTGGGAGGAAAGGGAAGGAGAGGGAGTCTTTGGTTCAGGGAGACAAAAGGCATCAAATGTGAGGTCGCCCTTCTGCCGCAGTCCGACTTCAAGTGTCAGTGGGCTGAGGCACGCCGGCGATCTGTGGACATGTTTGTGGCACGTATAGCTGATTCTCTGGCAGGGTCGTCGCGTAGGAGCCAACTTACAGGAGGTCAGGCAGATGGCAGCAGGTTCTCAGAAGAATCGGGTTGGGAGGCAGGGGAGCTTGCATTTGCTGGTGGGGCCCGTTATTCGGTCCCTAAGTTATTTAACGAAAGATGAAAGCGCAGCCCAAATAAAGTTACATCAGGCTTCTGGTTTTAAACCATGTTTTCCATGAGCCATTGCTTTTCTACTTGAGTCTGGTTGAACTATCCATTACGAAATGTTATCCTGGCGCAGGTCTGACAAAATTGGCTCATCGTTGTGTGCAGAGGTGGCTTTTCTTGTCACCCCCTTTCTCCACCCACCCTGCCCCCATCATCATCTGATAACTATTAAGAGAGACCGCATGTGCAGTTTGGCCAAGGAACCCCAGCACTTTGGGAGGGCGAAGAGGGCGGATCATGAGGTCACCAGTTAAGAGACCAGCCTGGCCAACGTGGTGAAACCCTGTCTCTACTAAAAATACAAAAATTAGCCGGATGTTGTGGCAGGTGCCTGTGATCCCAGCTACTCGGGAGGCTGAGGCAGGAGAATTGCTTGAATCCGGGAGGCAGAGGTTGCAGTAAGCTGAGATCACGCCACTGTACTCCACCTTGGGCGACAGAGCAAGACTCCATCTCGGAAAAGAGAAACCACTTGTTTCCTGTGTTCTCTCACTGAACATTGTAATTAGAAGGCACACCCCAAATAATAATAGGAAGGACTTTTTGTGTTGCTTATGAATTCATCTCAGGAAGGGGTGGGAGGAGAAATATATTGTTAGGGTTATCTTTGAGTAGGAAAAGAGAGAGAAGGATTGGGAGGAAGCAGAGGGTGTTCACTCTTATCTTACAAAACAAAAACAGAAAACCTTGAAAACTTCCCCCAAACCAACATTTCAGAACCACCTATGATAAACAGCTCTTAACTTGGAGAGAATATGTGTTTGGATTTTTTAATTATTATTACAAGCGTCAGCTTTCTTCTTGAATGACAGGTTGTTAAATAATATCTTATTTATAAGTACATTTCCCCTATTTGAAGAAGATACATCCTACCATGTTATGTTAGGAAGAGGAAACGGTTAAAACAACAGAGAACTAAAGAAAGTCGTAGGTGAAACATGATATCCTTGCAACACAGTTTGGTTACATTCGTGCTTCTTACTGTGTCATTTAACTGCTTCACAGGGAGGTGTTGTCATCTTTATTATTATTATTACTTTGGAAAGGAAGTTGGTCTTTTTATTTCTGGGGGAAAAAATGCATTTTTTTCCCATAGAGGCAGGGCCTTGCTACCTTGCCCAGGCTAACCTCAAACTCCTGGCCCCAAGGGATCCTGCCACCCCAAGTGATCCTGCTGCCTTGGCTTCCCAAAGCACTACTGTGCCTGGCCTATTTTCTTTATAATAATGCTAGAAATAAGGAACTAAAAAATAAAAGACATATAAAATGTTCTATAGATTCTGGCCTCCCTGGAATAAATGAAGGAAATAAAAATGGATCTATGACTTATTCAGTTGTTTTCTTGGATGCTATAAAAAATATTCATGGAGGGAGGATCCAAGATGGCCATTTAGGAAGAGCTCAGGATTGCAGCTCCCAGTGAAAGCGCAGAGGGTGAGTGGACGCCGCGTTTTTATTGCCCACAGACTAGGAAATTCCCGGGCGGAGGAGCTCCACGGTCGCCAGCGCGGGTGTTTCGGCCAGCGCGGCTGTGCCGGCCAGCGCCGCCGCTTTGCCCCGCACAGCTGCTTTGTCGGCGCCCCGGAGCCGCGGTTCTCCATACATAATACACCGGTCCGGGTGCCCTTTTGGCTGGCAATTGGAGCCACGGGAAGTGGCCCATTCGCCGGTTCAAAAAAGGGATTGAGCAGAGAACCAGGACAGTAGACTCCAGGGCAAAAA